GGCTTGACGTGTTTATTATTATTATCATTATCATTATTATTATTATTATTATTATTATTATTATTATTATTATTATTATTGTTCTATATAACCTAGGATTTATTTTATTCAATAGATTCGGATGGTTAGAAGTGATTAAACTTCTCCTCGACAACGGTGCAGACCCAACGACACAGAACACGAATGGCAGCACTCCTCTTCACCTAGCGTGCAGACGAAGCAAGTTAGAAGTGATTACCCTACTTCTAAATCAACGTAGTGTTAATGTCAATGCTAGAGACAAGCTGCAGCTGACACCATTACATCTTGCTGCTGCTCAAGGATGTCCAAAAACGTGCCAAATGCTGATGGATCATGGAGCTGATGTGTTTGCAGTGGCATCAGACCAAACAACTCCACTTCACTCGGCGATTTTTAATGGCAATGATAAATGCGGTGGAAATTCTGTTGCAGATACTTTACTTCTAAGAGGTAATAATAATTATAATAATAACTTTAATTAAACACAAAATTCTGGGAAAGTATTTATAAACCTTATTGAAACTGAACCTTTAAAAGTGTAAGTGTTAATTGTCTTCAATCAGAGGCGGATCCAGGATTTCGTTCAAGGGAGGGGTGCTGCGCACAAAGTTAACCCATGGAGGGGTGCACCCCTTAGAATCAAAGGGAAAAAACAGTATTGGTTATCTTCGAAGTAGGGGCACAAAGTCGAGCCGGGGAGGGGTGTGCACCCCTCCCCTGGATCCGCCCCTGTCAATAAACAGTAATGTATCTTTAACCAAGGATGTTGTCATCAAACAACTGCAGCAGCAGCAGAAACTGGAGGAGAAGAAGAAGCAAAGACATCAATAAGAATAGTGGCAACAACAACAAAAACAAGAGCATGAGAAACCTTTTTATGCAAAGAATATTTTTTAACGGCAGCAACAACAAAATCAAAAACATAAAACATTGCAACACCAGCAGTAAAGTCAATAGCATGGACACCAACAGCAAAAGAAACAAGAACAACGGCAACAAGTAAAAACAACGTACAACAACGAAAGCAGCAATAGTCCAGGGTGACAGTTTCAGAAACTTCTCCCACGTAGACTAAAACTATCAACATTCATTTAATCAGTTTCCACCCAGCTGCTTTCAAACTGACCACTTTAACATATAGTACGTTTGTTTTCATTGTAGTAGTGGCTCAAAACACTCGTAATGTAGATGATATCATCAAGTCACACGACATGAACTGCAACACACTCTTGCACAATTGTGCTCTGACAAATTCCCTGGATGTCGCTAAGAAGATCATCGAGCTTGGCGCTGATGTCAACGCTTTAAACACGAATCTTGGAACGACACCACTCCACGTGGCTTGTGCGATGGGTGGTTTTGAAATGGCGAAGATGTTGGTGGAAATGAAGGCAGCTTTGCAACCCAAGGACTGTAGTGGCCAAACACCATTACACAGGTAAGAACACCCACCAGTCTCAACGGTGTATCCAGGGTGTTGAGGTATGTGGGGAGTGACCACTTCATGGGAAATCCTAAACGTCTCTGCAACAACAAAATTTAATGATGATGGTAGTGAATATTAGTAACCAGTGGCAATGATGATGACGGTGGTGGCGATGATGGTGGTGGTAATGGTGTTGGTGTTGGTGTGGTGATGGAGATAGCGATGATATGATGGAGATAGCGATGATATGATGGTGGTGGTGGTGG